GGGGAATTCTGGGAGTTGAAGTCCATCCGTCTTAAAGTTGCCAAGGTTGAGGAACCCTGATCTAAATGACAATTAACATCCAGTCCATATGAAAAATGTAACTGTTTCCAGGAAGGCTGTGACTGTGACTCAGTTTCAACATTTTATTATAATTATCAATGTTATGATTCTCTTGCTTTTGCTTTCTAGAGAGTTCCTCCTTCATATCAGATAAAAAACATGGCGGTACCAACTGCAGTGTGGTCTGGTGGGAATGATAGAATTGCAGACCCAAAAGACATAAAGCTCTTACTTCCTCATATTGTTAACCTGGTTTACCATGGCTATTGGTCAGACTGGAATCACTGGGATTTCATCTGGGGACTCAATGCTCCCAAGCGCATGTTCTGCAAAATCATTCAATTGTTGGAGAAATCGGTGTAAATCAGGAGTTTGCCCCAACAAGCTAAGCCATTTGCATATGTATCTGTAATACAGATTTGTATTCTGTAATTCTGTAATAAAGAAGGTACATTCTCTGTCACAGCACCTGCCCTTTGGAACACCATTCCTTACTGCCCCCCAGAAGATTTATTCAACCCCCAACTTGACCATGTTTTAAAAAGCCTTGAAAATTTTGGCTTGAGTGAGTGGCAGGTCCTTTGTATTTCTTTTGGTTAGAATGTTTATTATTTCTGGATGTTTGAAGTTTCCCATTTGTATGTCATCTCTATTTTATTGGAGTTTTCTACTGTACACCACCTAGAATTGTTATAGAGTTGGGCAGCCTTATCACTTTAATTACTTAATTATTTAATATATATATATTACTGCAGAGAGCCCACCAGGACTCATTGTTCTGCAAAGAGGATAAAACAAGCTTTTGTCTCCCACCCAATGGTTAGCATTCAGTAAAGAAATGGTGGGTGTTCTGCTCAGTGGCAAGCATTACTAGGAACAAAATAATAAATAAAGGCCGTGTGACATTTTCGAACTAGAAGCATAGTGTTCATTGGGATGACAAACAATAGTTAGGGACTTGAACAGTCAGAAAGGGAGGGTAGAAATAATTCAAATAAATTAAGTGGTGAAAAAGGACCTTGATGGTGAGAGCCACAGAGCTAATGGCAAGCAGGGATACCTGTAATGGTTTAAAATATTAAGCAATATAACCTTTTAAATTTGATGTTATTATTAAACAATGGGAAGCAGTTACAACAAATGAAAGCATGTGCCTTTGTTATAAGTCAAATCTATTTCTAGCATAATACCATGAGTTTTTGTCATGTGGAAAGTAGGACTACTACATTTCCCCTTCCCATTTTGAAAACTGTTCCATTAGATTTTTAGTCAAACTTCATCTTCTCATACTTCCTCTCTCATCACCCAAATAATTGTTGGAAAACAGTATTTTCTTTTAGCTGTAATTGTTCTCTTGTAATAGGATAACTGCAAAGTATGTTTCCAGATGTGGAATCCATTACATTAAATTGAGCCCATCTTATCAGAACCTTCTGGCAGCATTCAACCATCACCTTAAGTAACTGTTCTGAAGACTGGGTGCCTACTGTTACTTTGTATAATGTATAATTTTGCTGGAAATATGTTACTATTGAAATTAATTAATTATCTTCCCACATGATGTTGTCTTGGTGTTTCTACTGCTAACATTTTATTGTTAGCTATAGTTTGAAAAGGTAAAATGGAGTTGTGGAAAGGTTCCTTAAGGTGTTTGAAATATTTTTATTTCATGAGGCATGGGGATTAGATACATACATACATAAAATATATAAGATCATTTGGAAGGTGGCTTATAAAGTGGCCATTATTGTGCCCTAAATTAACAAATGCCATTTCATGCTGGGTAGTTAATTCAATCCAGAGACTGCCAAAGCTTGAAATATGAAGAGGTATTGTATTTTTGCTTTATTTATATGTCTTATTTTTCTTGTGGCTATTTTGACAGTGAGCTCTGAGTGAGGTTATAGTATAACTGAGTAGGCCAGAAGACTAGCGCTGCATTTGGGCATTGGGCACAAAGGAGTTTTTGGTGACAATTGTTGAGGAAAGGTGGCCTTGAGTTGATGCTCTAAAATGATTAGGTAACAGTAGCATCAGCCACGACAACAAATAGATGGATCATCAAATAAATTTACCCAGAGTTCTCACTTGAGGCACAAATGACCAAATTATCCTACTTTGGACACATTATATGAAAACCCAGCTCTCTGGAGAAGGCTCTAATGCTGGAAAAGGTGGAAGGAAAGAGAAGAAGAGGACGACCAGCAGCAAGGTGGATGGACTCAGTTACAATGGTGATGAGTGCACCATTGGAAGACCTGAAAGACCAGATTCTCATGGAGAAAATCTATCTATGTAATTGCTAAGAGTCAACAACAGCTTGATAGAACATAATCAATCAGTCATAATAAACAATTTTTTAAAAAAGGATCTATGTAACAGATAAAAGCTCAGGTCACAAGTCAAGAGGCTAACCCGAAATGAACTGAAGCACACTGCTTATGCAAAGTAATATATTTCCAAGTGTTAATTAAATGCTGAAGTTAAGCCCTTTGTCTGAAACAGTTTTTTTTTTCCACAAGATTTTACTGCTCTACACTGAACATTCAGTTCTTCATATTCTCAGAAGTTGAGATTTATCTGGAAAAAGAAGTTCTTATGCTTTCTCTGAAATATATAGGAGTTTCTCAAAATTCCACGATGAATTCATGTAATACAGGTACTTCATATAGACTATACCTTCCCAAGTCTTTCCGTGTGCAGGTAAGTCACATGGAAACTTAGGCCAATCCATATAAGTGAGTGACAGAGCAGTAAACAGAACTCTCCCCAGTACTTATTACCTTCAAAGGTTTTCAAGATTCAATTGGGATTCATTTCTGTTTATACCCATAGTAAAACATGTCCCTGAATAGCTCTCATACAATATTTGGATTAGTTTCTTGGTTTGGTTTTAGGGCAAGACATTTCCACAGTGGCAATCATTGCTTCAGTCCCAGTTAATTCTCATTCATGATTTAGGTATCAATCAAGTTTATTACAGCCCTTAGGCTGTAATATATATTTAAATATATATCTAAAACAGTAAAATATATTTTTAAAACAGTAAATATAATAGGGTCGAATATATATATACTATATATATTAGACCCTATTATATTTACTGTTTTTATAGTATACATGCACACACACACACACATACCAGTCAGTATGTGTGTGTGTGTGTGTATGTGTGTGTGTGTACACACACACACACACACACACACACTGTATATCAGAAAAACAGTAAATATAATAGGGTCTAATATATATAGTATATATATATTCGACCCTATTATATTTACTGTTTTT